TCTCCTGGAGGACCCTGGCTGCTCTGGGCATGGCTGAGAGCACCGCCTGCCAGAAGGGTGACAGCTCAAGGTGGCCGACAGGAGACACCAGAGCACCCGCGGGGCTTGGCATGGACCCAGAGGGCTGCCTGGGGAGAGTAAGCCAGGCTCTGTCCCTACAGGGTCCCAGCTCAACTTTTGCTCCAGTGGCCCAGAAACTGGGAATGCAAAACGTGTGTTAATGGGTTGTTTCAGCACTCATTAGACACTGTGTGGAGGGCTTCTCCAAAGCAGTAAAGGACAGAAACACCAGCAGCCTCCATCCCATTGCCTTTCAAACTACACCAGATGTCCTAGCAGGTGGAATCCTGGACTATAAACTCTGAATTAATCAAAGCGTAAACAAAGCGATTGGATTAAAATCCATGTGCAAAAATCTTTTGTGTTTATATGAAAGGGATTACAAATCCAGGGGAAAATTAAACTAAATAATAATCATGACTTTCCATGGACTTTGTGAAGCCCCTTGAACATACAATTAACATTTAGTAAATTCAATTAAGAAATACTAACAACATGAGCATAGTATTTCTTTTTTTAAAGATTTATTTATTTTATTTGAAAGTCAGAGTTACACAGAGAGAGAAGGAGAGGCAGAGAGAGAGAGAGAGAAAGAGAGAGAGAGAGAGAGAGAGGTCTTTCATCGCTAGTTCACCACAACAACCGGAGCTGCGCCGATCCAAAGCCAGGAGCCAGGAGCTTCTTCTGGAGTTCCCATTTGAATGCATGGGCCCAAGGACTTAGGCCATCTTCCACTGCTATCCCAGACCATAGCAGAGAGCTGGATGGGAAGTAGAGCAGCCGAGACTTGAACCGGCACACTGAAGGCAGCGGCTTTACCCGCTACACCACAGCACCCACCCCAGCATAGTATTTCAAGATTTCTGGTGGCTGGCGCTGCGGCTCAATAGGCTAATCCTCCGCCTAACTGCACCGGAAAACCGGATTCCAGTCCCGGTCGGGGTGCCGGATTCTGTCCTGGTTGCCCCTCTTCCAGGCCAGCTCTCTGCTGTGGCCCGGGAGTGCAGTGGAGGATGGCCCAAGTGCTTGGGCCCTGCACCCCATGGGAGACCAGGAAAAGCACCTGGATCCTGGCTCCTGCCATCGGATCAGCGCGGTGCGCCGGCCATTGGAGGGTGAACCAACGGCAAAGGAAGACCTTTCTCTCTGTCTCTCTCTCTCTCACTGTCCACTCTGCCTGTCAAAAAAAAAAAAAAAAAAAAGATTAAAAAAAAAAAAGATTTAAAAAAAATAAAAAAAAGAATTGCACATTAAATCACTGAATGGTCCAAGAATGGTGGGCATTTAGACCATAGAGAATTGTCATGCACTATTCACTACAGCATAAATTTGTACAGCCGCTTTGGAAGACAGTGTGGCAGTTATGTTGTTCATTAAACACACATGAGGGATCTTCAAATGACTCATAGAAAATGCGTATTCAGAAAAGATTAGGCAAGGATTTCTTTTGCACCAAAATAGCCTCATACTAGCATGTTATAACGCGTCTAAGCAGGATGTACTTTGAAGCACTAAGAAGATACAAAAGACCCCGAACCAGAGAAACATGAATTCTGCTAAAATTAAAGCAAGAAAGAACATCAAATGTATGGTGAAGCTTGGGAGGGAAAATGGTGAAATAATTGATGCTTAAGAAAAAGTATGACAATGCTCAAATACATCAGCAGTTTAAAGAAATGTTGTTTGTACTTAAAAGGCAGAGTGACACAGAGAGAGGTATGGGTACAGGGGGAGAGAGAGCGAAGAGAGGGAGAGAGAGAGAGAGAGAGAGGGAGGGAGAGAGAGAGAGGGAGAGAGAGAGAATCTTCCATCTGTTGGTTCACTACCCAAAGATCCACAACAGCCAGGGCTGGGCCAGGCTGAAACCTGGAGTCAGGTGCTCCATCTGGGTCCCCCAAGTGGACGGCAGGGACCCAAGCATTTGAGCCGTCACCTGCTGCCTCCCAGGACACGTTAGTGGGAAGCTGAACCAAAAGCAAAGTAGCAGCTGGCACCGTGGCTCAATAGGCTAATCCTCTGCCTTGCGGTGCCAGCACACCGGGTTCTAGTCCCGGTCTGAGCGCCAGATTCTGTCCCGGTTGCCCCTCTTCCAGGGCAGCTCTCTGCTATGGCCCGGGAGTGCAGTGGAGGATGGCCCAAGTCCTTGGGCCCTGCACCTGCATGGGAGACCAGGAAAAGCACCTGGCTCCTGCCTTCGGATCAGCGTGGTGTGCCAGCCGCAGCACGCCGGCCGCAGCGGCCATTGGAGGCTGAACCAATGCCTGGCCTGAAGCGCCGGCATCCTATATGGGTGCCAGTTCTAGTCCCAACTGCTCCTCTTCCTGACCCAGCTCTCTGCTATGGCCTGGGAAAGCAGTAGAAGGTGGCCCAAGTCCTTGGGCCCCTGCACCCACGTGGGAGACCCGGAAGAAACTCCTGGATCCTGGCTTCAGATTGGTGCAGCTCCAGCCGTTGCCATCTTGGGAGTGAACCAGCAGATGGAAGACTTCTCTCTGTGTCTCTACCTCTCTCTGTAACTCTGTCTTTCAAATAAATAAAATAAATCTTAAAAAAAAAAGAGAGCGAATCTCTGGACCAGCATAACATTGGGTCACAGTGACAGGAAGCGTGAATTCCTCGAGAGGGCCCCTAGGGGTACTTGTGAGTGGGACCACTCCTGTTTCCACACTTGACCCCGAGCCCATGAACCCTGGCAGTGGGAGGAGCAGCACCATGTGGTGCACAGTGCTGTTGCAGCCCTTTGGGGAACCTTACCCCAGGCACACATGGTATTCCCACCTGGCTACTGCTGCACCTGTCCTCAAAAGACCACTCCACCTCTCTACCAAAAGCCAGCTGTGTCAGGATGGTGGAGACCAATGTAGGATCCCACGAGCACCACCCAGGACAACACTGATGTGCTGTGAAGTGTGCTGTGTGCAGAACCATGGAGGGCCCCCTGGAAGCCCACCAAGCTGACACCTTCCCAATGTCCCACAGTCTGCATGTTCCCACGTGATCTGACCTCATCACATTCTCGCTCTGCTACAGAAATCACTGTCTCCTGGCTGCCATGGTTATGCCCCTGCCCCAGGACACTCGCACTGCAGCGTCCCCCTTCCTGGAAAGAAATCCTCCAGGCATCCTCACAACTGATTAGCCCACGTCCATCAAATACTCCTCAACATCACTGCCTTACTGATTGATGCCCACACTGATCACCCAAGTACAACAGCCATCAGCCCTGCGCCCAATCCCCACACCCCCATCCACCTTCCCCCCAGCAGTGCGGCCTCCTAGCATCAACTCTCCTCCTTCACTCCGCCTGAGCCCCACTAGACACATCCTCCTGACAAGTTTTGTTTTTATTTCACGCTTGTCTCCCAGGTGCAAAAAGAGTGTCATGTACCTGGCACACAACAAAGTGACCAGGATAGAGTGTGTCCTCATTCTAGAGACACCATCTCTTTTTTCAAAGCTTTTTTATTTGAAAGGCAGAGAGAGAGAGAGAGAGAGAGAGAGAGAGAGAGAATGAGCATCTTCCACCTGCTGGTTCACTCCTTAAGTGACCACAACAGCTGGAGTTGGGACCAGCCCAAAGCCAGCAGCCAAGAACTCCAGCTGAGGCTCCTAAATGGGTGGCAGGAACCTATACTGGGCCATCATCTGCTGCCTCCAGGAGGTGGGTAGGAAGCAGAGGGGCGGGGCTTGAAAGGCTACTCAGCTACCAAGTGTTGCAGGTGTCAGCTTACTGCCTGTGTCTCAGTGCCTGCCCTGGAGACACTGTTTTTATTCGTGGAGCCTCAGGCCAGATGCTGCTGGTGACAGCTAAATGCACACTGACGTCAGTGCCCCCTGTGCACTTCTCACGGTGCTGCTGTCCCTGCCCTCTCTGCCCTCCCCACACTGACCCACCTGCGCTCTGCAGCTCATGAGCTCGTCTGCTCAGAGAACAATTCAGGCATGCGGGTCCCATTTCCCACCTCTGTTAGCTGCACCCTGCTGAACAAGTCGTGGACTTAGCCTACAGCCAGCCCCAGAGTGACTAAAGCAAGGGGCAGGTTGAGTGGCTGGGGGAGCAGGGACGGATGGGAGACTTACTAAGTCTCTCACATGGGAGACTTGACTGACACGAGAAACTACCAGTTCCAGAATCTGGGTCATCCTTCAAAGACTGGGGGATGATGGAAAGAACAATCTGGAAAACAGCCCCAGGAGGAGGGCAAGCCTCCGACCAATCTGACAGTTTATCTCTTGACACCACTGCCCCCTGCGTGTAAGGGCCTCCAGGAACCTCGCGGAGGGGGACAAGGACAGATAAAGTCCCTCTGCTACCATCAGAGACGGGACACCCAGAGGAGCAAGGGACCAGGACCCACACCCAGGGACAAGCAAAGGCATAGACCTCTAATAGAGACACAAAGGACAGAGGCTGAAAGCTGGCCTTGACCAGAGCCCTTGATGTCCACTCCTGGGGACAGGACCAGACCCCAGCAAAGTCCCCACTGTCGCAGGTCTCTGTGATCTCTGTTCTAGTGGGATGTGCTTCTGCTGAGGGACAAGGACAGAGAGGAGTGGAGATGACCCAGGCAAGGAATGACCATGTAAAGCCCAGGATGGACTGAGCCCGACCCACACGGTCCCGTCCAAGTTCGGCTCCTCACAGCTGTTCCTGTCCTAAGCTGCAACAGACTCAGCACAGCAATCACGTGGATTCTGGAAGAGTCTCAGTGCTTCTACTTATTTCCTCGTTCAAATCAAGGAGTCCTCTTTTTTAAAAAAATATTTTATTTTATTTTATTTATTTATTTGAGAGGTAGAGTTACAGGTGGAAAGAGGGAGAGACAGAGAGAGAGGTCTTCCATCCATTGGTTCACTCCCCATGTGGCCACAATGGCCAGAATTGAGCAGCTCCAAAGCCAAGACCCAGAATCTTCTCCTGGGTCTCCCATGTGTGTGTAGGGGCCCAAGCACCTGGGCCATCCTCCACTGCTTCCCCAGGCCACTAGCAGGGAGCTGGATCTGAAGTGGAGCAGCCAGGATGCGAACCAGTGTCCATATGGGATGCAGGCACTGTAAGCAGAGGCCCCACATCGCTCAGTCCTACATAAGGCAGCCGTCTCATCCTGCAGAAGCGAACAGTCCAGGTGAGTCACAGTAAGAGGCGACATTGGGAACAGTCCCCCTAACACTCACTGTCCACAGCCAGAGGCCCCATAATGCAGACACGCCCCCCTCTTCCACCGCAGACCCTCGGGATCGCATCTTTGGAAGTTCTGAGAGGCACCACAGCTCAGGGCACTGTCCCTTCCCGGGGCAGGACAGGACCTGGTCAGGGCCCACAGGGGATGTGGCTTAAGCAGGAATTAAGGGCTGGGTGAGCTCCCCTGTGGCCTCCCGGCCACCTCACCCCCAACAGTCTCATGGATCGCCATCCCCCAATACTTCCTTGTAGAAACACTGTCTTTGCCAAGAGCGGGCAGGAAATGTCCCATGAGAGGCCAGGAAGGGGCAGGGCCACGAGGTCCTAGAGAAACTTCCTAGTCTGGACCCCAGGGAACTTTCCAAACTGTGACGCCAAGAGGTCAGTACACACGCAAGGGCTGGACCCACGGCCCTCGTGAGGTCAGCCAGTAGCAGGGATTTCCCTGTGCCCAAGCCCGGCAGGCATAGGTCCCCAAAGCTCTTCCTCTTCCCCACACTTGCTTTTCAATGGAGTGAATGATAGCACACAGGCTCCCAGGCCAGGTCAGCATCTGTGTGTGGATGGCGCATCCCAGTAACAAGGGCAGAGACTGGAAGACGCCCACCTGCGGCTCGAAGCTCAGCAGTGGGACAGGAGTCAGACCTCACCCTCTCCATACCTGAGCTCTTCCTCCACCACAACACAAACGCAATCACAGCTCCAAGGAGAACCAGGCAAACGGTTATCACGATGGAGTTGGTGGACTGAGAAGGCGGCTCTGGGAGAGAAGGGGAGGTGAGCGGCTCTGACCCCAGGGCTCAGCTCTGCCCCTGCTGAAGGCCCCAGCAGGGTTCTGCCCTCCCCACAGAGGCCCCGCCCCTCCTGCCCTCCTCACCCCATGTCAGGGTGAGGGGCTCAGGCAGCCCTTCGTGCTGCACATGGCATGTGTATCTCTGCTCCTCCCCAGAAGGCACCACCACAGCCGCCCACTTCTGGAAGGTTCCGTCGCCCCCAGGCCTGGTCTCCACGAGCTCCGTGTCCTGGGTCTGGTCCTCCCCATCCCGCTGCCAGGTCAGTGAGATCTCCGCGGGGTAGAAGCCCAGGGCCCAGCACCTCAGGGTGGCCTTGCGGTCAGAGGCGGGGTGGTGGGTCACGTGGGCTTTGGGGGGATCTGAGGGTAAGAAAGAAGAAATTCAAACAGTTTGTATGCCTGCTCTGGCCATGAAAAGCACTATTCACAATAGCACCTTCAGAACAGATAGGCCAAGTGGAGCGGGGCAGGCAGGGTAATAGCGAGGCACTAGCCTGGTCTCTGGTCTCTGGGAAATCGCCTAAGCCTTGGAAGCTTCAAGAATCAGGGCGAGGCAGTGCAGAGTAGGAGGCTCCAGGTCTTGAGGAGGGAAAACAGACTTCTGGACCTGACTAGGATGTAGGCCCAGAGGCACAGAGAAGCTGGAGTCAGACCTCCAGAGTTTGGGTGTGGGGCAGAGGACAGGGCCTGAGCCCCAAAGTTACCCAGCTGTGCCCACGGTTGCCGCCAGGGCCATAGAAACACGCTAGGAAGTTATTACAGAGACTTCCTCCCTCTGCATCCCCAGGAAGTGCAGATCCCTTGACTGTCCCCAAGAGGAGGGCAGACCCTCAGAGCCGCTCTCTGATAGAAGGTTCTAGCAACCCTGGTGGATTCCTCCCCCTCGGGATCTGAAGGGGGAGATGAAGGAGGAAGCATTCTAGTGGCAATCCCATTTTCTCTGCTTACGGTGGGGGAGGTACAGCCTCTGCTGGAGGGGCAACTGGGAGGCACCCCGAGGCCTCGCCTACCTGCGCGCTGCAGGGCCTCCTTCCCCATCTCCAGGTATCTGCGCAGCCACTCCACGCACTCCCTCTGCAGGTAGGCCCTGTAGTGCTCAGCATGGCCCAGAGCCTCCCACTTGCGCCGCGTGATCTGCGCTGCCATGTCCGCCGCGGTCCAGGAGCGCAGGTCCTCGTTCAGGACTATGTAGTCGGCGCCGTCGTAGGCAAATTCTTCATACCCGCGGAGGAAGCGCCCGTCCGGCCCCACGTCGCAGCCAGAGGTCCACTGGAAGCTGTGAGAACCTGGCCCCGCCCCCAGGCTCAGCCACGCCCCGGTCACGCCCCGCCGCGCACCCGGCCTCCTTAGCCCCGAACCCGCTTGGCGCAGACCCTCAGGCTGCTGGTGGTTATTGGTCAGAGCCCACACTGGAAACAGAACCCAAGGAATCCCCGCGGGCTCTAACTGGGCCGACGGGCCGGGAGGGTCTGGTGGCCTCGGGGGAAGCTATGACCTGGACATTCAGAGCATCCTGGCTCGTCCCAGGACCACGTCGGCTCTCACCCCCTCCGACCCCCGTAGCGGCTCACCATCCTCGCTCTGGTTGTAGTAGGCGAGTGCAGTGCGCAGGTTCGAGCGCAGAGTCTGCGCGTGGACGCCGGCGATCTTGGTCTGCGCATCCCAGTACTCGGGCCCCTCGGGATCCATCCACGCCGCCAGGGGCTCCACCCTCGGGTTGGCCGCGTCGCTGTCGAAGCGCACGAACTGCGTGTCGTCCACGAAGCCCACCGAGGTGTAGTGCGCTTCCCCGCGGCCAGGCCGGGACACGGCGACGTGGAAATACCGCAGGGAGTGGGAGGCTGGGGGCGGGCGGGGGCAGCTGTGACCGGCCCGAGCCTCCGGCTGGCGCGCGTGGGTGGAGCCGGGAAGGGGTTCGCGGGATGGGAAGGGTGAGCCTTAGGGCGCCGGGGGCGGGCGGAGGCAGGTCTGGGGAAGGGTCAGGGCGGGCAGATCCAAAGTGCAGAGGGCAGGGCAGGGGAGACTGAGACGCGCGTTCCAGGAGCCCTAATTCACGCTGCACGGCCCCCTCGCCCGTCGCCCGCAGGGGCCGTCTCCCTCTAGACCCCGTACTCACCCGCCCGAGTCGTGGGCCGGGCCAGAGCCCCGCAAAACATCAAGAGAAGGATTCGAAGCTCCATAGACTAGACCCTCAGGGTCTGGAGAGACTGAATCCCGGCTCATCCGCGGGGACTTTAGAACTGAAAACGGCGACGGTGATTGGCTTCTCGAAAAGCGGGCGCCCAATGGGAGTGAGAGCTGGGCTCGCGTCACGAGTATCCAGGCAGAAGGACCCGACCCAGGTTGTGAGAAGAGGAAGTGAAACTGGAGATGCGAGGAATCCCCACAGCTCCTACTCCTAGCCCCAGACTAGGGGACCCCGGGACTGAGGCTCTAAGAGCCACGCCTCGAACCTGGGACTTTTGCCAGGTCCATACCCTCGCTACACTGCCCCGAGTGCTGTTCGTCAAACGGACTCCGGGAGGCCAGGCTTGGGCTGCGCCCGGCCACTTCTCCTCTTTTCCTGGATTCTCCCTCCCTGATTGTGGGGAATCCCACAGGAGTCCCAAAAATAGAGTCACAGATCACCGCTCGCCTGACCAGCAGAAGGAGGTGAACTGTGGAAACTCCACTATCCACAAAGTGAAAGTAAATAAAAATGGAGTCACTCATGTCAAGCCAGAGACTGATGACATCACTTATATCAAGCTCAGCGCTTGCCAGAAGATGCTCCTCATCAGACTGAACAGACATCCCTGGGCAGCGTGTGCTGCACGATAACCTTGAGTCACCTTCCTACTGCACCATGATTGGACGCAACCTGAGAATGAGCTGGAAACACCTGGTCCCAAACAGTGGATGGTGGCGTCCCGGGAAACTCCGAGAGGGAGCACGACTGACTGGGAGCACCCGAACAAGCAGGAGAGCTGCCAGGAAACTAGGATAGAAGGAGAGCCTTTGGCACTGCTCTCCACCCTCTTGGGGATCACCGCCTGGTGTGGGAACCTCTGGCTCTCCACACATCTGGAGCTGAAGGGGCAGCCTGTTGCTCTGTGGTAATGACACAAGCCAACAACGGATCAAGGGCCCAGTGCGTGTGAACCTCTGGATCTCCTCGCACTTGGAGCTGAAGAGCCAGCTCACTAGCCCCCTTGCTAAGCGACACAAGGAGACTACGGGATCAAAACTCCAGCGGAGCTGCCACTTCGCTGCCTCGCCTGGACCCCTTAGCAGCCTGCTGCCAGGCCTGACTGCAGAGCCGGACCAGGCCTCCCAGCAGGGGACATCTCCAACTTCTCCCCTTGCCATCCGCCTGGGAACTCTGAGCCTACTGCCCAGAGTGACAGCCTTCCCACGACTTCCTGCCTCTAAGTGACTGATCCGAGATCCGTCTCTGCCGAGACGTTGAGCTCTGGACTTTGAACACTGACTTTTTCATGACCGTGATGCGAGCCTTGAAAACACAGCTTTTGTAAATGACATTAGCCATGTGTAATGTAATATGAATATGCTTTGACCCTGTGACTAAAAATAATGTTAGATACCTTGCTGTACATATACTATGATAACTGGATAGCCCTCAAAGTTACTTTAACACTATATACTGTGATCTGTGGATTAATGAATAAGCTCAAGCAGTATTACTGATATTTATTTATATTCATGGTATTGATTTCAGTAGTTCTTTAGTCATAAAGGAAATAGTGTTATTCTGATAGTTAAGTGTAATTATAGTAAGTTAAGTAGTGTGGGGAGCAATCCGGACTAGACTGAGTTACTGGAATTAGGACTTATTCTGTGCATCTGCTCTCCCACAATATGGCGCTGGGAGAGAAGTAAACAGCTTCCGCACAGCTGCCTCCAGTTCAACTAATAAACTGTAGGACTTGCTCCTGATTGGAGGAGAGCAGCGTACTCGGCGTGTGGGCAGCCGAGTTAGGATTGGCGGAGGAGGACTATAAAGGAGGAGAGAGACGGCATGCACCAGGAACATCTATGGGGAACATCTAAGGGGAACATCTAGCTGAAGGAACACCCGTGCAGCCCCCGAGAGACCCGGCCGGCGGTGTGCCGCTCCCCTGCGGAAGTGGGGAATGTGGCAGGGGGAACTGCCCTTCCATGGAGGTGGAAGGGACGGTAGCCAACCCGGGAAGAACCAGCAGCGAACCCGGGAAGGGCCGAGCAGACGAAAGAACAGCGCAGGGTCCTGTGTTGCTCCTCCACGAAGAGGGGGAGCGACATAATGGTGCCGTGACTCGGATAGGAAACCTAGAACGGATAGCAAATTTAGGAGGGAAGAAACGGGAAGAACTGGGAAAATATCGGAGAGAGAGACTAGCAAACAGCCTAGGGAAAAGCCGGACGAAAAGGGTGCCGGAAGAAGCTATTGAAAGCCTAGGCATAGACTCAGATACGGACTACGGGGGGAAGCTGGGAGAAATCTCTAAAGTCGAAAGCGAAAGTGAAAGCTAGAACAAACAGACTCGGATGCGGACTGTGGGGAGAGGCCAGGAGAAATGAGGGAGGAATATTGTTGGAAGAAAACTTAGGGAAACATACCGGGTAGAGAAAAATGTTAGGGAAATTGAAGCCGCGGGGGGCAGGCCGAGGCGGATACGAAAGCCACTTTGGGATTCTCAAGTTAGCCTGGGAATAGGGGGTGAAAAGTTGAAACCAGAAACTGAAACATAAGCCAGATTGGGATCCGTCTGATTAGCCCGGGGAGCAAAGGACGGGAAGCCAAACCGTGGGGCGGAGACGTAAGCTGGGTTGAATTCGCCAGGCTAGCCCGGGGAACTTAGATTGAATGCTAGTGGCGGACACGTAAGCTACGCTGTGTGACTCGCGGAAGCCGCCGCGTGCAGAGAGAGCACGGGGCGTGAATAGATAGGGAACGGGGCTGGCGCGAGGCCGTGGTTCAGACGCGAAAGGGTTAAGTGCGAGACTGCGGAGTGTGCGCGCAAAGCGGGCTGAAGCGGCTCAGCCGGAAGAAAGCCGCGGAGAAATAGCCTCGGGGCGGAGCCTGCCGGCAGGGCGAGGTGCCGGGAAGCTGCGGGGATAAGAGAAACAGAAGTTTTAGAAGTAAAGTGAGAGAAATAGGAATGCTGGAAGATAGAAGTGGAATGGGAGAAATAGGAATGCCCGGAGATAGAGAAATAGAGAAATAGAAAGGCCTCCCCTCAACATGGCAATTAGAAGGCTTGGATTCGGTCTGCCCGATTAAGTGAGGCGATGAGCACCTGCGGCGGCTAGCAGCTTATGCGCCGCAGGTCACCGAAGACAGGCACGAATTAACATCAGTAAGGCCTCCCCCACAATACGGCAATGAGAAGGCTTGGGTTCGGTTTGCCTGATAGGGCTTGTAAGCCCCTGCAGGCAGAGCAGAGCATGCGCTGCAGGGCACCGAACGCAGGCACGCATCAGCGCCTGAAAACCTCCTCACAACATGGCGAAGAGAGGACCCGGATTCGGTTTGCCTGATTGATAGGACTTGTAAGAGCTTGTGACAACTCTAGCAAGTAGAGCAGAGTGTGTGCCGCGGGACACCGAAGACAGGCGCGTATCAACGCCAAAAATAAAAAGAAAGGGGGATCTGTGGGGAGCAATCCGGACTAGACTGAGTTACTGGAATTAGGACTTATTCTGTGCATCTGCTCTCCCACAATATGGCGCTGGGAGAGAAGTAAACAGCTTCCGCACAGCTGCCTCCAGTTCAGCTAATAAACTGTAGGACTTGCTCCTGATTGGAGGAGAGCAGCGTACTCGGCGTGTGGGCAGCCGAGTTAGGATTGGCGGAGGAGGACTATAAAGGAGGAGAGAGACGGCATGCACCAGGAACATCTATGAGGAACATCTAAGGGGAACATCTAGCTGAAGGAACACCTGTGCAGCCCCCCAGAAAGCCGGCAGGCGGTGTGCCGCTCCCCTGCGGAAGTGGGGAATGTGGCCAGGGGGAACTGCCCTTCCACGGAGGTGGAAGGGATAGTAGCCAACCCGGGAAGAACCAGCAGCAAACCCGGGGAGGGCCGAGCAGACGAAAGAACAGCGCAGGGTCCTGTGTCGTTCCTCCACGAAGAGGGGGAGCGACAAAGTAGTAGTTAAGCCAAAGATTGGACTGTTAAGTATATTGACAAGTATATTGGTAAGTATGGATTGATAAGTATTGATACTGCTAAGTGTATTGACCTCAATGAGCATGCTGATGAGTAGTGTGGTAATACCCCTGGTGTGTAAGCAATAAAATCTCTCACTGTGAAGGCAGTCTTGTGTCCTGTGTCCTTCCTTCCCGGGCTCTGACACGTCGCTCTTAGCCCTGTCAAGCTGCGTGATGACAGCAGGCTCGTGACACTGATCCCTGGATTCTCCCTACTCTTTAACTGTCCCCTTGAGTCTTCCAGAAGAAAGCTCGCCCCAGATACTGTGAAGCCAGACGGTGTGAGCTGGTGGGGGGGGAGGGGTGAGCTGGCGGGGGTGGGGCGGTGGTGAAGCAACGGCAGTTTCCTGTTTACATCTGGAGGAGCTGTGCTTGGGGCCCGCGTACAGATCCTGCCGGAGACCTGTCTCCTTTGGGGTTTGCTACAGTGGGGAACCCAGGTGATCTGAAATCTATCCTGTAAAAATAGTGACCTTACCCTTCACACACGGATGTGTCTAAAATCCCTGCAATGCTGCTCGGAGCTCCAGCATCGAGCCTTCAGAAAATATCATTAATATAGAACATTGCAGCCAGCGTGGACGACCTTGACTCACCTGCCAGTCACAGCTATTCGGTGCAGTCGACGTCCCCTTCCCCAGAGCTCATTGCCTACGTGATGACCTCACAACATCTTTTATTGTGATACTCAGCCTTGTTGTCTTCAATGAACATAACTGAGGAGACAATTTGTTTCTAGGCAACCTCCCAGAAAGTTGGAAATACCAGAGGCAAAGAATGTTCTGCTAAGCCCTATAGGTGTTTGTTAAAATTTTGTAAAGTATATTGCAAGCTGAAACAGTCTTGTTCCTCTGCCCCAGGCAATCTCCACTGGGGTCCTGAAGAAGTTCTGCCTTCCAGGGACCCGGTGGGGACACATTCATCCATGCCCCAGAGTCAAACCTGCTGACCTCAGTTCAACTGTAGAACCTGAAGTGGCCCTGGCACCTGGCACCAGCCCCTCCCAGCTGTGGCCCGGGATTAATTTCAGCTGCTCAGGATCTAGGCAAGAGGCACACGGCTCATGCCTGAGGTGGTAGG